TAATAATTATGAACGCGTACAAATTAAACACAATTACACCGAATGTGCTTTATTTCGAATCATGAGAACGGGGGAAGAACTGGAAACAGATTTTCGACGTATGAGCGAGGAACTGATACAATAACCGCATTTAAACCACATTTTATAAACAAAAAATGTGTACAAAGTCGACACAGAAAAAGTTTTTTCGAAATGTTTTCTTCGTAAAACAGAAAACCTTTTTCTATGTCAAGGAAAACAGAAAAGCATGAATCCAGCCTCTGCGTTTCCTGTGATCAGGGCCAGTTTCAGGAATTAAATCAATTAATTCGTTTAATTTATTAGCACATGAGCGAAATGCTCAAATGCATTAGCAATTATTGTAAGGTTTTTTAAGCAAGGATCGAAATCGGACTGTTGGTGTCTCTTACGGTCTTACCAAAAAATTATAAACTGGGTATACAGAACTACACTAGTGGCAATAGGAGAGTATGACTAGTGGCAATAGGAGAGTTTGCATGGAATATGGATACATAATAATTACATAACGACATTTGCCTGCGAAACGGAGATGACCAGCCGGTGTAGTGCCCTACGGCCATTGTAGTGCTCTAGGAGTACGAGAGGAATGAATGAACATTCTTCATTTCGTACTCTTAGATGTAGAGTAACGGCAATGGCCCTCCTCCAGAGGCGTTATTGTTACGTTGTATTTCATATTGTTTGTACGTATATTGTAACACAAGACAACTTTATTCCCCAGAACCCTTCAGGCAGAAGCGCTGTGATGTGATGTGATGCAACAACACGCTTGAGCAGGGCATTGGACGGTACGATATCCCTTTCCACCAGAACACACGATCCCCTCGAATTACTGACCAGTTACCGGGTAACCGGGGGTCCGGGATGCCTGGACCAAACGCTGTTTATGGAGTACTTTTGACCCAGCCTGTCCTATTGATTCTATATGGTATAAATTTATCATTATTACATTAAATTTTGTTATCATTCAAATGGATGACCTTTATAGTATTAAATAGTTAGTTTCGTGGTAGTTTTGTACAGTTAAGACGAATCAAATAAATAATACAATGTTTGATGTGAAAAAATCTCGGAAAATAAGTGCGTGAAGCCGATTATGAACTTTGACACATAGGATTTGCGTAATCTAAATCTTAACAGAATTTTAATAATTTGTATTAGTTAGATTCCCTACAGGCAAGTTCCTTATGCCGCGCTGCAAACCGGCCACGCCCATCTCCTGTCGCGATCGGCGCGCGTGTCCAGCGACCATGACCTCCTGAACACCCAGCTGGAAGCCGAACGGTTCTCCCGCGTCAACTACGCCGGGAATCTCCAACGCCTGCAGCTGGAAGAGCGCGACGCAGGTTGGAGTATGAGAACTCGCAGAATGAGAAGTGCCTCCTCTTCCGGGCGTATCATGGCATTATGAAGGATCTGAAACGACAGCTGGCGGCGGCGGCCAATAAGGCGCCTTGAAATGGTTCGGAGAACGGCAACGGGAAGGGTGATCCGGAGAATGTCGAACAGATCAATCTCAAGTCGCGGGCCAGTCCGTCGTCCTCCCTGGATGCCTCGCCGGTGCTGCTGCACTGCGTGACCAACCATACAAAGTAATACCTTCTCTCACAGTGGTGGCATAAATAAAATCGAAAAAGAGTCGTTGGTGGCAAAATTATTATTATTATTATTACGGCACAAGAGCAGACAACCCCGAAGGGACTTCAAGTCTGGTCGAACAAAAACAATTTTCCGCTAACAAAAACCTTTAGGAGAGTTTAACAGATCTGAGTAGAAATTTGAAAGAAGGTACAGAACTGGCTTCGAGAATTTTAGGATTAACAGCAAGAAGTTTATCAAGAAGACGCTTTAGCCGCATTTCCATAGTCCACCCTCCGATAATTTTCTTTGCCCGCGTAACATCGATCCGGGCCGGCTTTCGCAAGTTGTAGCGCGTGGTGTTATCTTTTACTTGGATCATGTCCAGGAGGTAAGCCGGAAGCGGGAACTGATCTTTGTTCCAGAACTTGAACAACCACACCGCATCGCTCTGCCGCCATCGGTCGAATATGTGAGGAATACCCAACTTCTGATACAGTTCCGGAGTAACCGGCATCTTGTAATCAGTGATGGTTTTCAGAGCTTTACGTTGTAGTCCGGCTAGCTTGTCGCGCTCAGTCGAAGACGCTGCAGACCATACCGGCGACTGGTGTGCGATATGGCAACCGAAGCAGGCGTGATAAAGACCTATTATAAGCAATAAATTGAAACGTGGTAGCAGTAGCCAAAAATAAGGCGTATGGTCAAGAGTGACAACAGCCAAAGGGGGTGTTTATTTTATTAAAACAAAGGGGTGACAATAGTCAAAAGGGGGTGCGGGGGGGTGACAGTAGCCATTTCCGGTGTTATTCGTATGTATTATGTACAATACTTACTCGGATAATACTTACGATTACTCGGATAACATCATGCTTCTGAGGCATACTAATGATGCTGAATGTACTATAGAAGTACAGATAGTACGTAGCATCATCAGTATGCATCTGTTAATGTTAAAAATATTGCTGCATATAATTATATGACCATCGAAGCGTTACAATTAGATCAGCCACAGTTTACAATAGTTACTCCTTAATTGTTACCACCAAACAATGCCCTAAATTATCATTGTGTGCTTAAATTTCTGTTATCACACCCATTCCACGCCATATTGTTGATTTACGCTCAGGATAATATTGATATTACATTGTTCTGCGCTCATTAGATTTGCTAAAATTTGCTAATGCAAACTGCTGCCCAAATGTTCTACAAAGTAGCATAAAGGCAGCGCTGCGTCGCTGCCAAAAAGGCGCTCTTCTCAGTTGGATTTTTGGATTAAAGTCATTCCCCATCAACTTATGTTTGTTACGAGTAGTTAAGTATAGTACAGCGTCTGCCATCTCCGATAGAGAAATACCACTTGTAACATATCATTGGTAAAAAAAAGTTTTCACTCACAGTATCGGTAATATTATAACATTACCGATACTGTGATTGAAAAATTTTTATTATGAATTTTAGTTCATAATTTTGATTTTGCTCACGACTATAACACTGCGTAGTTATTTTGCATCAGCTCAATGTACTGTTTGTACCAAATACACCTACCGTGCCGCAGTGAGTAAGCTTCGGACGCGATGTCAACCGCGATTAATTCGCGTAATTTCGGCGGCCTACTGTACCGATATCACCATCCCGCACAGGTCCTACACCATCGTCTGTCCACAGATCAGCAGACTGGAACTAAACCAGCCGGCACTGCCAATAACCGACAATGTCCAGTCCTACCTGGACACCGTCAACGTACCACTTATCTTGTCCGCATCCCTTTCCCGATTTCACAACGGCCCAGACACCGGACCGCGGCATCACCGTCCTGATATGAGTGCCCGCTTATGATGTACTCACCACCACCCCGGCTCATCTGCATGGATATCTTTGTCTTTGATGCGGAGATGACTGCAGTCTGTGTGATCGTTGAGTACATGCACCGCAGCTGCACTCTGGACGCACGCGATCCCTTGGAATTGCCGGGATGTCAGAGACGCTCGTTGTTTGTGGGGTACGGACTGCCGACCCGGACCGGCGCATAAGTTGAGATTCTTTCCAAGCTTCTCCCATGTCAGTACGAAGTATAGCAAATTTAGTGTTATGACATCTGAATGTCAGAAGGACCTGTATTTTCAGCGGTGATGGTAAACTAACATTAACGGAATCGCGGTCGACGGATTTGGATATTGATTACTTTGTACGACGTATAAAAGAGTTTTTGAATGGACTATTCAGTCAGTATTGCGATGGGCTGATTATGGGTCTTACGGTAAGGCTCGCGCAACTTCTATGCTTTTTTGCTGGAAATTCTACTACGCAGTATCTTGTTGTTTCAATTCTTTCGGCATAGAACTATAATACAAATCGTATATATACAGATATCGCAGGCATCTGTGCTTTTGTTTCTGTACAATCCCCATAAGTACGTATGATAAGTAGTCGTACTTTGGTATTGTGACAATTCATATATGACCTTTATCAGCTTATTATTCGGCTTATTTACTTACTGCACTCGTACAATTACTGCACGATTGCGCTCGTACATGTAGTGCACCACAGCCATTTTTGCTTGAGAAGTTAAAATAAAATACATATAAAATAACTACATATAAAACATCTACATATAAAATAACTACACATGGCCCAAATCCCAAGCACGATGCAAATAATGGTTGAAGTTATAGGTTGAAACGGCTTCTGTAAGCATCAAACATAACATAAGTACGCAGTAAAGTAAGACTTTACTGCGCTGTAAAGTAAGACTTTACTGCGCAGTAAAGTAAGACTTTACTGCGCTGTGTTAAAGTGTGTTTTGCATGCACATATAGAAAAAAATATATTGCTTTATTATTGTTTACTCAGTATCAGCAACGTATTCCGCTTATTTTGATACAATTAATTACACCTCGTGTTATCAGCACTTTGATATTTTGACTGATTACTTCGTCGGGCAATTATTTTTTGTAAAATTGTTCTACTCTGTGCAGTTTTTACGAGTAAGTAATTAGTTTTTCTCTGCGAATATTTCTACTTATATACCGAAGTACCGTAATACGGTAATTGGCTTTTGTAGGTGCTGTGTAATTTTCTCGTAACAGTTTTTAACGATCGGTAATACGAGTGAATAAAACATGCAATATCTTCACGATAATTGTTCAGTTTTTTTTCTTTCGGTGTTTATGTGCTTTAGCATTTCATTAAGTTAATCATACATGATTGACAAATGAAGCACTTTCTAGAAATTTGTGCACAACAATGAAGTTTCCGCGTTGTCAATAGATATGTTATAGACTGTATACCCGTTACCCAGTATGAAATTTAATCTTCTGCAGAAAATACGAAATAGCGTAACGTACTGTAATTACTAACAAAAATCTTACAATCAGCCACAGTACACTGCTAAAGCGCTTCGAATAATCTTATTCAACCATTGACTCCAGTAACACAAAGTTGCAGAACATGAAATAAACTAATCTAGGAGTTTTTTACGTATTCAGATAACCGCATACCGTAAACCGGAACGCTCACAAACACAGCGAAGCACAGTAAAATCTAAACAGAGAACAGCATTACAAGACGCGGTCAGAAAAAGCGCATAACCGCAAGATCCATCACCTGTTATGAGAAAACTTTGTAATTATTCTTCCAAAATGAATGGCCGGCAAACAAACGATAAAACAAAGCGAAAAAATTAGACGGGCCGATCTGTCGATTCAAAATGCGATATCGTAATCAGCTCTACCATCCACGTAGGCGCTCTTAACAAAAGACGCCATGATTCCCGGAGGAAAAACGACATTAGCGATGTCTGGTTCCGCCAGCATATTCTGCATCCAAGCGTGCAGTTTGGGATAACTTTCAGATCGACATTTTCAGATCGACACTTTCACACTTTCGGATCGACACTTCGCACACCGGAGCAATACGCTCAAACCACGGCCAGATCATCACGTCCACAAAACCCATCTTGTCGCCTGCAAATTCATATGGATTTACAACGGCACAAATTTGGCACACACAACTTGTACAATTTACTTGGTTGCGCTTACTTGTGTGCAATTCTGTTAGCAAGCCTGATTCTACAGTAGCACCAGAAATCAAAATATCCTGCGTTACTGCTTGGAGACTGTAGTATTTACATATGCTTTTCATATTACTTATGAGAATGCAAATAAATCGACCGCATCTGTATGCGCACTTCACAAAGCTAGCAAATCGAAGAATGTTCGTCGCAAAATTTGAAAAAGAACAATCAAACATCATGAATATAAAAGCGTACAAAGCTGACAATGAATAAAAGTACTTACTAGTTGAAGCGAGAAGACAGTGAACAGTGATCAGTATTATCGTACATACGCGTACGTACATCTGCACAAGGCTCACCTGAGAAATACTGCCCGGTCATTAATTCTTCCACTTCTTTCAGGCTCTTTTTGAGCTCGTCGATTTTTTCGTTTCTCGCAGCAACAGCCTCCAAATTGCTGATAACCTATACAATGATTAAAAAAATCGATATAACACTTACGAAAATTAAAAGGCAAAAACTGCAGTTAGCGAAATTCATCATGTGATTGGATAATACCCTGGGTACAGTTTTATACTGAAACGACGGAAATGAGCCAACCCGTTACATACCTTTCGCGTAATAACGTTCAGGGTGACCTTCTGGAGCCCCTTTTCGTACTCATCTTTCGGCAACAACTTCGGCTCAGTAGGAAAATTCTGGCCGATGTACTCAGACATAATCACAGAATCGAACAGCAGACCAACCTTCCCGGGTACGCGCAGCGCAGGTACGTCTCCCAGTGGACTGTAATCGGCGTACCATTTCGGCAAATCGGTTGTGTTCATATTCACCAGTTCGTACCTACAACGACAACAGCAAGTCAAGTTTAAAGCACCGATATTCTGCGACAGCGGAAATTACAAACATGATGCGTTTCTGGAGTTTTGCTAATATAGATATTATAATTCTCAATAATTGCTACCATGCGGCATCCAATATTAATTACCAAAAATTAACACACGGCTAATGATAAGCATAAATTTCGACATGCACTCTGCCAAAAATCCCTAGAGTACTCAAACACCAACGGATGCACACACTTACAGCACTGGAATGTCACTCTTCAAGAACGGAGCATTGAAATATTATATTTTGCAAAATGATTTTGTACTTAACTTTTCGAAACAATCGCCAGCATTCGATGATATGTGCTATATAAACTGCGATCTCTAATAAATGCTTTGACACTTCGCTCAGTTCGCTGTGGTTTGATTGCACTTTTTTTGCGAAATGGAAAATTCCAAAACAGATTTAATCATCTAACCCCCAACAAACAAAAAGGTAAATTCTAATTCTCGTAGTGTTAATTGTTAGACTGCAAAACTAAAAAATAATTAATCACAGGAGAAGCCGAAAACATACGGTAATATACTCAAAATGCCCAATTTGATGGTTTCCGCGGTGCGACTTAAAGTCTTAAACCGTTAAAAACTGTAAACAAGGTTGCACTACGAAAACAAAGGGTGACCTTGCAAACACCACAATTTCACGGTTAGGGCGGCTGCCATAAGACAGTTTAACACGAAAAAAAGGCGGAAGGCAAGCGCGCACTTACTGGACTTTCTTAAGGTTCAGCATCAGCCGAGCTCGCTCCGCGTACGGGCAGAATCGCATGCTGTACAAAAGAAGCTGATTCTCGTCCGGCTCGGGATCATACGAAATTACGAATCTGCAATGACCGAACATGTCAACAAATCCAGAATAAAAATCTGCCGAAAGAATTCTCATGCATTCGAAATGTCTGCCGCCATTTACCTTTCCCGAGATGTTTTTTTTCAGCGTAGAGTTTAAGAGGCGCTCCCAAAGCCTGCGACATATCTGAACCAATATCTCCACCCTCCGGAACGCCGACTGCGTGCACAACCTGTCGATCGCGGATCAGCACGAAAGCCGGCTGCAATAAAAATGCTGATGACAGGCGCCATTTAGAGATCACGTTACGACTTTGCAGGGGGTGAGTCTTAGTGGTGTTGACGGCACATAGGATTAAATGGCCATACAAGGGTGCGGGATGGAGAAAATAAACGGGAAATTCATGTTGCATAATATTTGAATAGCCCCCGACCATATGTAACCAGGGCAGGTAGCTCAGACAGAAATACTTACCAGATAGAAATAACAGGAAAAATTTTAAAATTTTAAATTACCATATCCATATTATTAGTATTATTCTCCTTACAATTTTTACTCAGAGACTTACCAAGCAGTTAATGCTCACTTGATATTCCGCACAAATGGTGGGGATTTCCACTGAGAAAGAGGGATAGTAGAATTTCACAATGAACTTCTTACTGAAGTGCGCGGCATTCATCTCCCAAACTCCAAACAGCGTGGAGCCACCGCTTGCAGCGCGATTGACAGCCGGATCACTTCCTGGTGGCAAAAACGACATAACAATCACTTGCGAATGCATAGCTTGAGCGTCCAATAACTCCGAAGAAGCGGGACAAATAATAATGCAGCGCAGATCTAAAGTCCACTGTACACTCCAATGAATCGTGGGTCCGCTCAACGGAACGCAATCGCTGTAGCGCGCAGTTTTTTTGTAGAAAATGTATAGCACCACTGTGCATCTACCTCCGAAGCAGTTTGCGGATACGGATGACTCGTGTTGGGAATTTTAGTCATGTAAACATTCGAAATTACTACAGTTTTCTCTGAAACAATTGAAAACTTCCCAATAACAACGAATCGCAAAGGTGAAAGAGGTAAAAAAGCTTATGTCATCGTTCGGGAGCGTCGGAGCGAGCTCTCCAGTGACAGTCTGCTCACAGTCCAGGCTCAGTTGTCAATCTGGCACTGGCAAGTGACTCGATTTAATAGCATTGAGCCGTTGACCGTGGCCGCAGCACAGTGCGCCGGTACAGTACGTACGTACGTGACGCAACAGGGTCAAATTAGTAATGATTCAGTTTGCTTTAACAACTTATTAATATTAATTTTGTTTGCTGCCGATTGCTAGAGCTGTAAAAATTCAATAAATATGAAATTAATAATAGCTGAAACGCGCTGACTGCATGCAGAAAAGGGAATGCCTTCCCACTATCCAGTTCAGTTCCAGACGCTTGTCGGTTCGTGAAGTCCGGTCTGATTCAAATAATTTACAGAAGTATTCAAAGCATAAGGAAAAATTAATCCATCATGACGTAAGGTAGTAGTCGGTATTCGGTAGTACAGATACATCATACCGCACATACAAGTACGCGCATCTATAATTAATAATAAATTAATAATATCAATTATTACCAATCAGCAACCGAAATATTCGAAAATCTTCGATGGAACTACTCTAGGAACGCATAAAAAGGTGCAGCTATATTCACATCTGACGAACGTAATTGATTTATACAATCAGAATGTCAAAAAGAAAATGGGTATCAAAGCCTCTGTGAATCAGAGCGGTTTCATTTTAAAAGAGGATGAAATTGCCCATTGAAGACAAAGCAGTTATTTGCTAGCGGCGGCCTGTACGAAGAATCTAGGTATCCTCCCCAAAAAGGTGCAGTGCTATTTAGCAGGTGCCAAACATGTTTCATGCATTCATAATGTGGAACAGAAAGTACTATGTATTTAACTAAGCAAGTGCCAACCGATCGGTCTAAACCACTTCAAACAAACGTTGGAAATGCAACACCACGATAGAATTATTTGCCAGCGGCGGCCTGTCCGAACCGCTCAGCGACATCCTTCCAGTTGACAATCTTCCAGATCTCTTTGACATAGTCAGCGCGAACATTCTTGTACTGCAGATAATAGGCATGCTCCCATACATCGATGCCCAACAAGGGAACCAAACCTGCAATATCCAGTTCATGAAAAAACGGTAACTTCTAAGACCATTCTTCTCAGACCATTTCTATGCAATTTAAACAATACTTGAATTTTTAATAAATTGTATAATAAAAGAAAACAACCGCATGATTTCACCAATTCCTGATCGACAAAGGGGAACGAAAATGTCGCAAAGAATGCACGACAGTATTGCTTAAACAAAGGCAGATACACAAATTATGCATTTAAGGTTCAACACCAAATGAAACGGCATATTAGTCGGGAAAAATAAAAAAGTTAACAACAACGAATATCTGAAAATTAAAATAATATCACTAACTAGTAACTACAACGCTTTCTCGGCCTTGCGAATCCTACAATCACTTTTAAATAATTATTCAAATAGTTTTTCCTTGATTTTAACCTGGAAGCGTTCCTCATACTTTGAGCTTACCGAGAGTGGGCTCCAGAGGATCCTGGTTGGCGCACTGTGCAATGGCCAGGCGCTTCATTTTGGGACAATATCCCAGCCACGCCCAACCCGATCCTTGAATGGCCGTCGCCTTCTCGCTCAACTTCTTCTTCATCGACTCAACATCCCCAAAATCCCGTTTAATAGCAGCAGCCAGATCACCTAGTACAAACCAAAAGAAGTATCGTACTATTTTAAGTTTGTAACTGTAGCTAAGTGCATTTTCTTGAAGTTCGTCTTTTTAGAAGTACAATACAAGTACTTTCTCGCATTCAATATGTACGCACTCACAGTATGTATCTCATATTAGATATGTCAAAACTTTGTGCTTCTGTTTTAAGTTAACGCTAGTAGCTGTCCGTCAAAATTAATCAGCTAATTAGTGTTACTGATTAAATACTGAGTACTGCGAGTGTACGAGTATTACTATTGAGAAAATTAATGGCGAACACACCATAACAAACCGAAGAAACGAATTATGTTTTAAAATTCCAAGTCAAAGCAACACGTCACTGAGATGGATCTGCATAGGAAGATGCAAAATCTAGTCAGGCCTACAGCTGTCAGGCAAAAACAACAGATGTACAAAAAAAGACTTTACCTTCCGGCTGCTTTTGGCTGCATTCTTTGACAGGCGCGAGATTCTTCCAGAAAATACTGTGATTAATATGGCCGCCGCCGTTGAATTTCAGAGCGCCTTGCACCTCGATGGCCGTCTTTAAATCGCCTGCAAAATTTCGATTAATCCCCAACATTCTTTCCGTACGCGTAGCACAAATTAAAACATTATATAGGTATTAACTTTAGCAATTAATTTTTACAATCGACACTGACCGAGTCATGTGCCAGCCGATCCTGATTTAAGAAAACGACAGCCAAAACTTACCCTCAGAAAAAAATTATTGTGGCTCATTACGACTAGTACTCGTACTCTCAAAATACCGAAAAAGGAATGATAAAGTTTTATGCACTCTATTCTGTACGTCCTCCTTATAAATAATTTTAACAAATACAGTTAACATACGAACGAATCAGGAAAAAATACCGCCTTTATTGCGATTTTCTTTCCTACTTAACTTCTTGCGTATTCTGCTAGGCGCGCAGACCTATATTTCCTCACACTGCAACTTCCCTATACTTATGTTCTGCAAATGTAATGTTTTGCCAACTTTTGCGGTTATAATATTGCTACTCGTACCTTTCTGCAGCGCTGTGGTTGCTTTTTCCTCGGCCGCATTTAGATTCTGCACATAAGTGGCATGGTGCTTCTGGTGGTGCAGCTTCATAATCTCCCCCGAAATCACCGGTTCCAGGGCATTGTAATCGTAGGGCAGATCCGGGAGGGTGTATTTGCTGCGGGATGCCATCACCCCCATCGCGCCACTGCTGGATGCATGGTTCAGGAACCCACTTGATTTCCTGCGCAATTTAACACTGGATGGTTAGTTGGCTGATTCCACAACAGGTAAATGCATCGACCATCAAGTCTCGCACCAACAAGCTTACAAAAACATTACCGAAACGAGATCTTGCAGTAACAGCAATTTACAATTATCACTATTTCATATTTGCATGTAAGGCGCTTTCTTGCAGAATCTTACGGATCCCTTGGTTGTTTTCATGTTAAAATATGGAAAATTCAATGTACATAAAATGTTGTATGTACTACAAGCTCGAACTTACGCTGCACAACCTGCACTTTGTCCCAACTTGGAAAGAAACATAGTGACGATAGTCGAGGATACTATCAAAATTAATAATAAATAAAAACGTAGATGACGGAATTCCTTAAATTTTAGCAGTGGAAAATCCGCTAATAAAAGTGTCAAAAATACAAGATCTATTTATTCTATTAGATTCAAATCGCACAGTTTCAAGCAAAGCCGCCTGCCAGTGCCGACGCAGCATCTGGCATCTGGTACTTTCCCACACCATTCTACTGCTGCAACATGCCGTACGTGGGCGGGCGCCCTCAAACCGGAAGCTATCGAGCAATATTACTGTACATCAATTTTTCTCCACTAGAGTGACTTCAATAACTTCTTCCATGACTTCAATAGATGACTTCTTCATTTCTCTTTGGAGGTCGTTTTCAAGCTTTAAGATACGAAAGCATCTTGTGAATTCGGTGCATGAAAAGAGTGATCTGTAATTGTTTCTCTGCTTTCTGAAGCTCCGGAACTGATTTGTGCGATGGATTAGATTTCATGTCGAACCTGCGAAGCTGGAGAGCTCAGAACCTGAGAACTGAAAAAGTTTGCTTTCTGCTAAAGCAGATAACACTAAGTTATGACTTACAAGTAATTTTTGTGCATTGCTTGATTCCAGCTTCGATACATTTCCGAAGTTCTGAAAATCTGTCTTTGATTACGGTTTAATTGCAACATCGAGAATGAACGATCCTGCTGATCAGAATAAATTCCGCTTTGCCATTGATCGCGGTGGAACCTTCACAGGTAAAGTGGAATGCGGGATTAAGATATTGTAGTACTGATTTAATAAAATTTTATACATAAATTATTTAAAATTTATTGATAAGAAATATTAAAAAGCCGATACCGTGCATAAAACCACGCTATGAAAGCTCATTAGCTCAAGTTAGGTAGTTCAGGCCCAACTGCTACACTCTTGCAGACGTCTTCGCATTATGCCCGAATAAGAAGGTGCGAGTGATGAAGCTACTGTCCGAAGATCCCAGCTATGCGGATGCCCCGCGCGAAGCTATTCGCCGTATTCTGGAAGAGGTACTGTACTGCATAATAGAATTTTGTAGGTTTAGTGTTGGTGCTGCCGGAACTGCAAGCTGTAGAGTTACGAAGTCGTATCTGCAGTCGTGTTGAGAATTACTGACTGTATTAAAGCGCGAAGCAGTTCAGTATGTGCTGAGCTGATTGGCAGCTTGTTATTTTTTGAACACGTGCTGGCACATAAGACTTAAGAGTAGCAGGCTCAACAACCAAAGTCCAAAACGTTCTAGTTTTACTCGTGTTTGGCATTTACTTTGAGTCTGTCTTTGACAAACTTGAAGATGGGGATCATTTCATTTTTGAAAATTGACCTCGGCCTTTATTTCACTGTAGATCAGATTTTCTGGCCTTGTTAATCAGCTGATGTGGTTTGTCTTCAGTTTCTCACTGCTGATCAACAGGTGGGCGTTTCGAATATCAGCGGGGTAAAACTGCAGCGCAGTGGCACGAAGTTCCATATTCTGGGTCATGCTGCATGTATGCCATGCTGTCCACATAATGGCACTGAAAAGTGAACTTTACAGTGTCGCGAGCACTCCTTTTCAACACATCTAAAATGTAATTTTTTTATAATGTCTTCCATGTAGTGAAAGTTGAAATACAAGTAAATTACATTATGAATGTTACTGTAAATTCCCTGGGAAATGTCGATTCATCCGTACCAGAACTGTTCTTATTTCTAATTTACGTGCTTAATTTTCCGCAACTGTTTACAACGTTCATCTGTTTTTCCGAAAATAAACGATGAACACGGAACACCGTACAGGAAGGCGTTGGCTAAGGCCTCGTCTCGAATTCGAAGCGAATCTGGTTTTGGTACGGTTGCTCAACTGCACGAGGTGGCTGTACGCAGTGGCCACGCCTACCGGTACGGTACGCGAAGCCACCTCGCGAGGTGGAGTTGCTGTATCGCAACAAGATTCGCTTCGAATTCGGGACAAGGCCTAATTGTGTGATGTGCCCACAGGAAACAGGCACACTGCACCCACGCGACAGCCCCGTTGACACCTCACGCATCGCCTGGATCCGCATGGGCACCACGGTGGCCACCAACGCCCTCCTGGAGCGCAAAGGCGAACCCATGGCCCTGGTGATCACCCAGGGCTTCCGGGATCTCCTGGAGATCGGCACGCAGCAGCGTCCCCGCATCTTCGACCTGTCCATCGCTCGTCCGGAGCTCCTGTACAAGGAGATCATCGAAGTGGAGGAGCGCGTCATCATGCAGCGCGACGACGACCGTCTGCCGAAACCCAAGAAACTGGTGACCGTCCAGGGCGTCTCCGGGGACACCTTCGAAGTGTTGACACCGATTAACTGGCCGAAGTTGGAGGAGCAGTTGAAGGCGGTGCTGGCCAAGGGGATCAAGAGTCTGGCCGTGGTGCTGATGCATGCGTATACGCTGCAGCAGCACGAGAAAAGAAGATGCGGATTGTGCGCGGCATCTGGGCTTCACGAATGTCAGTCTGTCGCACGAGGTCATGCCCATGATCCGCATTGTGCCGCGCGGACAGACGGTGTGCGCTGATGCCTACCTGACGCCGTGTATTAAGCGGTATCTGCAGAGTTTTGCCGGCGGGTTTAAGGATAATTTGAAAGGGGTGCATGTGCTGTTTATGCGGTCGGATGGGGGATTGACTCCTATGGAGAATTTTATCGGATCACAGGTAAATTGCTAATACACCGATGCAGTTTGCAGTAATCGTTCCATCAGATGGATTCCAAAAATTCATTACAATGTCAACACAATTAAGTTCGGATATTTTTTAATATATTGCTTGAACTGTGCGCTATTTTAATGCACATTATGTGATATCTGAGAGTGTAATTTGAGGATACCAACATGTTAATAATGGCGTCATATGCGGAGACGTGAGAATTGTAGTACAAGCCATTACATCCGGATATCATCGGCTAGCATTCGAGATAGGCATGTGAGCGGAGAAGCGGCTCACGTACAGCGACAAAATCTTTCAAAGGATTTCAACGTATTGAGCCGTGGTGCAGTGGTACTGCCTACGCGGATCTAACGACGTAGCCGGGGTTCGATTCCCCCATCGGCGCCTTTTTCAGCCGTTTCTCGGTTTCCCTCGGATTGCGCCCTGCTTAGAGGCATTTAGCAAAAATAATGTTTCGTAGAAAGATGATTAAATCTGATTTTTCCACTCTCGATTTATAATTTTTTTATTTTGTTTTATCAGAAATTTCGTTAAATGTTGTTGGTAATGGTAATATTTTTTGTTGACGCTTCTGTTTTGTTGTTGCTCCTTTTTCCGGTATGCTGTCGTCTTATCAGTCGCGATAACTGGTGGTTCGTATAGGCTATCGTTTCTGGTCCAGCGGGTGGTGTGGTGGGCTTCGCGTCTACCGGCTATGATGCCATGGAAATGAAGCCGCTGATTGGCTACGATATGGGTGGCACCAGTACGGATGTCAGCCGTTACGCGGGGGATTACGATCATACATTCGAGAGCAGTGTGTCCGGCATCAGCATCCAGACACCGCAGTTGGACATCAACACGGTGGCCGCCGGAGGTGGTTCGCAGCTGTTCTTCCGGTCCGGTCTGTTCGTTGTCGGACCGGATTCTGCTGGTAATTTATTCTTAATATAAATAACCAATTTATGTGTTATAAATAATTATTATTGTGAAGTAAATAATAAGTTATTTTAATATTATTGTTAATTATTATCTGTGGGATTTTTTCGTTAAGTTTAAGTTGGTTGCAGTGTAATGCAGGTTACGATGTTCGTTCGGCTTATGACTTCCGGTTGCGTAGGTGCCAATCCTGGACCAGCTTGCTACAAACGCGGTGGCCCACTGACGATCACGGATGCTAACGCAGTTCTGGGCCGACTGCTGCCCGAATATTTTCCGCATATTTTCGGCGAGAAACGCAACGAGCCACTGGATATTTCCCGCTCACGACAAGCGTTTGAGGAGCTGGCCAACACCGTTAACCAGTTCACGTCGCAGCAGGGAAAGCCAGGTATGGAGATGCAAAATCCGGGCATGCATGTCTGGCAATTTCCGTTGTCACTATGGAAGAGGAAAGCAAAATCTGATAATTAACAATACAAAATCAAGGATTTATAAAACTTTGTGATAGAACAATCGTATGTACGTTTTATGATTCGACAGAGGGAAGATGATGAGAGAGAAGTTGTGCTGGGCAAATCGTAGTGTAATGCCTCGGGCAGTCCCGTAATGCAACTGCCATGCACTCCGATAAGCCTTCATATTAGTGGAGTTACTCAAAAGTTTCTAAGAAAATTATTAAGAATTTTTCTGTCAGTGTTTCATGTTGCTTAAAGCGTGGTAAATCACGAAGAAAACAGGAAATGTAGCATCCAGCGCACAAAGAGTACCTGCATTTTTTAAATAATTGTTTATAATTTTAGAAGCGCGATCGGTGGAAGAAATCGCGGAAGGATTCGTGGCCGTCGCCAACGAAGCCATGTCCCGTCCGATCCGCAACCTCACCCAAGCGCGCGGCTTCGACCCTCTAACCACGTCCTCTCGTGTTTCGGCGGCGCCGGTGGTCAGCACGCCTGTGATGTGGCCCGTTCCTTGGGCATCAGTCGCGTTTTCGTCCACAAATACAGCAGTATTTTATCGGCGTACGGGATGGCGCTGGCCGATGTGGTCAGCGATGAAACGGAGCCCTACGGACAGGCCTTCACCCAGGAGAATTTTGCGGAGATAACCAAACGCATCGATAAACTGAAGGCATCCTGTAAAGAAAAATTGGAGAAGGATGGATTCATCCCGGAGCAGATCCGCTTCACGCCGTATCTGAATATGCGCTACGATCGGACGGATTGTGCGCTGATGAGTTATCCCGTGGAGAAGGAGAAGGTGGAGTTTGGGCAGTTTTTGACAGCCTTTACCAAGCAGTATGAGCGGGAATTCGGGTTTACGCTGCCGGAGCGGAAGATCGTCGTGGATGATGTGCGGGTGCGGGCGGAAGCGCGGGCGATTCCGCTGGAGGAATTGGAGCTGGAAAAGGCCGATTCGGAACCGCCGGTTGAAAAGGTATGATCAAATCTGGGAGGTTTTCTACTATAAATTTTTTTATTCATTCTTATATTATTAAATAATACAGACACAAAATTTTTGTGTTTGACGCTCTTTTATA